GAAGGGAGGGAGGGCAAGGGAGGGAGGGAGAGCAAGGGGGGGATACGGGGGGATGGTCATTANGAAATCCCGGGGGNCCGGGGGGGGGAGGGAAAGGCCACATGCTAGAGGGGAACATCACCAACGCCAAAAGGTTGTGTATGTATGCATGTATGTATGTATGCACGTGTATAACGATACACTGGACGTGTAAGGCCCCCCCAACCCCCTTCGCATTTTACAGCGATTCATTATCAAGACGCTCTAGTAATAATGCTCTCAAAGCCAGGTGGTGGTGTGCAAGGTATCTATCCCACCTTGATAGCGGAATACACGGGGCCAAAATCGCCCAGAGTCAGCCGCGGTCCGAAATCCAGATCCAAAACTTTGGATCCCGTCTCTTCGGCCTGAACCAGCCGCCGGGAGACCTGCGAGGATTGAGGGGACGGGGGGAAATGTTTTCTTTTGCGGTTTCGGAGCGTTGAATCGGATGAGGGGCTTGGGTTTCCGTGGTCTTGTTCCTCAATTAGCAGTTTGGGGGTTTATGGGCTTTAGTATGTGGTTTTGCTAGAGTTTTGGAGTTTTAGTTTTAGCAGGATTACGGCTGGAAATTATTTGGTCATAGGGCCTCCTTTGCATCTCGATACCAGCTGAATGGTGATCTTGGGGTTTGGTTCTGGAGCCGCCGTCGAGTATACGGCAGTCTAGGTTCCCGCCGTTCGCAAAAGCGGAGGTGTCGCAAGCCATGTCGGGGGATGAATTCGTATGTCGGCAGTGGCTCCCCTTTCTTCCCCGACGTCGCCTGGGCGCTCTCGCCATTCTCCCCCCCCCTCCCCCCCGCCTCCCCCTCATTTACCTGCTGTTCCGTAATCCTCACTGTCTCCCCCTCCATCGGTGTGAACGGCTTCATGTCGGCGGGGGTGGGTCGCCAACTGGCGGGCTGCAGGGCCTCCTTGAAGGCGCCCAGAGCAGCCAACTGTGTGGGGGGGGAGTTGGGGGGTTTCGGGAGTTTGGGTTGTGGGGTTTTTGGGGGGAGGGGGTGGGGGAGAGCGGGGGTTTGGGGTATGAGCGTGGGGTTGGACAGGGAGCGGGGGAAGGAGAAGCAGCGGGTGGAGAAGTGGGAAAAGGGGAAAGGAGGGAGGGGAAAGGGAATGGGGATATCGGTGGCCGCATGGCTTGACGGGTCAGGAGTTCAGCCTGAGGAGTCCCAAATCCACGTCAACATACACGAAATTCAACCAAACGCATACATACAAACATATATACACATATACACAAATACGTACGTACACATACTAAACACATACCTACATACATACACACACGTGCATAAACTGTTCTGCGCCTGTCCTTCTGTGCCCTCCTAGGCAGCAGCCATAAACGTGCATGCGTGTACAAACCCTGTCCGCCCGCCAGGGCCCCTCCCCTCCCCCGCCTGGGCCCCTACGGCTAACCGCTAAACCCTACCAACTCCCCCCCATCAACCTCCCCCCAAACCTTCCCCCCCACACCCCAAGTCCCCCCCCCCCCACACACACCTCCTTGTCTTCGTTAGCCACCATCTCCCAGGCATCCAATACGGGCTCTAGCTTCTGACGCTGCTCCTCGCTGCCGTATTCCAGGTCCACCGCCGCCGCGGCGGCGGCGGCGGCGGCGGCCGCCGCCGCCGCCTTCTCTGCAGCCGACGTCGTTGTCCGCAGCTCCCGGCCTTGTACGGGCCCATGCTGCGTCGGCTGCGACTGCAAATTCCAAGCCACGCGGGTCCTGTCCTGATTAGGAGACACACTCCGACTGCCAGATGGGTTCCACGTGACGGTTCCGGAGCCGTTTCTCGCTGCCGTACCCGTACCCATACCCGTACCCGTGCCCGTGCCCATAACGTTCACGCCAGACGGCACGTCCGTCTGCAGCTCGCACAGTGCATTCAGGTAGTGGCTGTGACGGTTATTAGTTAGGTGCAGGGAGTAGTACGGAATGGTCTGGTGGGCGGGAGATGAGCGGTACGGCATAGACTGGTGGTACGCCGTCGGCGGCGGCGGCAGCGAGTGGCTGCCGCTGTCGCCGCTGCCGCCGCCGCCGCTGGCGGTGCTGCCGAAGCGCGTCTGTGCACCTACGCCCTGAGTTAGCGCATGTCGCTGTAGGAAGCGGAGGTGGCGTGTTGACGGATCGGAGGGATCGGGCTCTTCCGGGGGTTGCTCCCTGGCGGGGGTGGCAGGTGAGGGGTTGCTGGGGGACTCCGTACGGTGACGAGAGGAGGGCCACCAGAAGAAGCCGGACTGCCCGGCGGCGATGGCGGCAAAACGGTGGCCGTGGCGGCAAATGGCGGCGGTGTGGCGATGACGGCGGTAGCGGTGGCGGCGGTAGTGGAAAGTGGAAACGAAGAGGGGGATGGGGGATGGGGAGTGGGGTGTGGGGAGTGATGGCAGGTTTGACGATAGGACGTGTAAATGGGCGCAAGTGGATCGGTGTTTATGAGTGGGGTTGTATGCTTTCGGGGTCCAGAGGGGCTTGGGGAAAACACAGCACCTACCTCAGCAGTTGACACGGTGACCCGGAACGGCATAAGGCCTCTCCTTTCCTTTCGCTACTGCTCTTTCCCCGTTTTGTTAGACTTTTTAAAACACATAAAAGCACGCATGGCACGCCGGGCACCTCTCTTCATCATTCCCTAAGCACCGTAGCAATAAATAGCACCGGCAGTATAGCAGCAACAGCTATCGTAGCTACAGCTACAAAATTAGGGCACCAGCGGCACGGCCACCGAGAATCCATAATCTGCACATCGAGCCGTGCCGCGCTACCTCCCTCCCTCCTTCCCTGCCCCCGGCTCACCTGCTGCAGCATGTTCTCCCTGCCCGCCTCCCCATGTCGCCGCATCCGCAGTACGGCACCCCTCAGTCCCGATCTTAGAGGTCCCGCCAGATCATCCTGGGGGTCCTCCGCACCCAGAGGCACCTCGATATAGCGGGAGGCTGAGGGGGCCCGCGGAAATGGGAAGGGGGGAAAATGGGGGGGAGGGACAGAAAACACGGGTCTGAGGGGGGGAGAAAAACACAGTTTTGGTGGAGAGGGATGGGGTAGCGGGGGATAATTTACCACGTGGACGGTGTATGTATGTTTGTATCTGCGTGTGTGTGTGTGCGCAGGAGGGAGGGAAAGCGGTACAGGGAAAACATACATACACACACATATAGACGCGTCGGGGAGTTCGGGGCTTTTGGGGGAAGGTGGGGAGAGGGGAGGGAGTTAAGGCAGTGGGGGGTGAGGGGAAACCGCACGCAGGCGGCCGGCACACGGTAACCCCGGGAACGTCGGCGGGCCATGGAGGCCCGGAGTAAGTCGAGGAAGGTAATCACGGGAGAAAGGGGGGGAAGAAAAAATAGGAGCACCGCTATACACATGGACACAGACACAGACACAGGCACGAAGTCCTCCATCCCACCCCACCCCACTAACACCTCCTCCACGGCCCCCGAATGCCCTCCTTCCTCACCCTCCTCCTCCGCTCGCCGTCGTGCCTCCTCCTGACAGATACAACCACCGCCAGCATCCCAGCCACCGTTGCCACCGTCGCCGCAGTCGATTGTGCACACACGCCGTACCAAATGCAGGGAACAACGCAAAACATGATCAAAAGTATGCAGGAAGGGAGTCCGGAGGCGAGATGGGCCGGGAAGCGTGATGGAGGAAGCAGCAGCAATCGAGGCGCGAAATTATACGATGATACAGATTGGATCCAGAACCTAGATCCACCAATCGATTATGAATAGCTCCCTCACATCCTACAGGGAGCCACAAACCTTACCCCGCTTTCTCTGCTCGTTTACATTCCCCCTCCCCTTTCCTCCCCTTCCCTCCCCTTCCCTCCCCTTCCCCCCACTCCCGTAATACGCTTTAGCTTATTATGCTCAGACAACCCGCTCTCCTCCTTAACTGCCGTCGCCTTGACTTACGCTCGCTTCCGTTCCCGAAAAGGATGCGTCCTTACGCCCAGGTCCATTTGCCCTCCCTGTTAATGCCCCGGCCACCGACCCCCAACCCTTCATCCCCGGCCCCGCAACCCCCCCCACCCCCGCAAAACACTCCGCAATACACACACACACCCTTTCCCCGCACCTCCTGCAGCGCCCGCCTCTCCGCCAGTGCTGCCCGTCTTTTGACGCCGTACTCCAGCCTAGCCAGCAGCGCATCGGAGATCTGCAGCGCCTGCGGGGCGTTGGGGGCCAGCTGTGCCAGAGTCCTGTCCGGAGCGAGCTGCGAAGGAGGAGGAGATGGGCGGGGAGTGTTGGGGGGGGAGGGAGGGAGCTGTGCATGTGGAAATGGGTTGGGGGAGAGGAGGGGGATTACGGGGGGAGGAGGACGAGGGGAAAGTGTTCAGCAGGAGAAGTAGGCCAGGCAGGAGAAAAAAAATGATAATGATGATGATGATGATGATGATGATGATGATGATGATGATCTTTTTCTTCTTGTCCCCCTTCCTGATTTCCCTCCGCCCCGGTGGCTCATAAACCCAACTCCTCCTCCAAGGCCCCCCACAGGACCTCCCACCCCGCCCGCACACACACACACAGAAACACACACACACACACACACACACACACACACACACACACACACACACACACACACACACACACACACACACACACACACACACACACACACACACACACACACACACACACAACACACGCACACACCAAGCTATACCCGTATCGCGGCCTCAGATTATTATTAAAACAACTCACCAGCCCAAGCTCCTGATCCGTCACCAATTCATCCTCCCCGCCCTCCCCCTCCTCAGAGCTGTCGTCAGCGCCACCCATAGGGCCCGCCCAAGATAAGATGTCGATTTTTTCGGGCTGCTGCTGCTGCAGCCGCGGCGGAGGCATCCGTAGCGTGCGCTTCTGCTGCATCCGCTGCCGTCGTCGTACTATCGGCAGTAGCAATACCCTCAGCGTGGAGAGTAACGGCGGCTGTGACGATTGGTGTTCGCGCCGCTGGCGGCTTATTGCCGGCCGCGGCGGCTGTGTAAAGGTTGTATCGAGATGAGTTGTTGCTGTCGCCCTGCCCGGTACGGCGGTGCTCTAGGAATGCGGGCAGCGGCGCTGCCGTCGGGTCGGGGTACTTCGCGGCATCCGCCGCCGCCGCCGTCGACATCACTCCCGTCGTACTACCATAATAGCCCTGTCGAAGGTACTCTTCGGAAGCCTGGACGACATACATAGCGACGAACATAAAAGAAATCAAATCCGCTGTGGAGGCCGTGGCGTGAGCAACCCAAAACGGCCGCAAGCCGCATTCCCAACGGGTTTTTTTCATGCAGTTGTTAGTTCCCAAAGTTGGCATTTGTACGGCACTCTAGGTCGAGCCCCAAGCAACGACGTCTGTCGATGGTACGGCAGTGTGTGCGTGCAGTGTAGTGCTTACCCCCCCCCAGCAGAGCTTGCCGTCATGCATGGTGGTGGAGTATCACACATTTACACAGGCTCCTTCTTTCCATGGCACAACGGCCCCGACGCGCAATCACATACATACATGCATACATACATATACACATACGGGAGTTCCCACCGGCTGTGTTTCAACCTCCGCCATGAGTCGACCCAGCCGCCGCCGCCGGTCCCCCAAGGGATCGGCCGCCACCGCAGCTCCGCCGCCGCCACCGCTGCCAGTCGAAATCGCCGTCGGCGAGTCCACGGCGGAGGCAGCTCCGCCGGCCCCGCCCCCGCCGCCGCCGCCGCCAGCAGCTTCGGTCAGCCTCGCCATCTTGGTCATCATGTCTTTTCGCGGCGACGGCCGCTCCGACGCGATCCCCGTCCCCGTCCCTGCCGCCCCGTCGCCGTCGCCCCTTCGATCCATGCTCGGCGACGGCGACGGGGATGACACCTCACCTGCCATCGACCGCGCCCCGACGGGGAGGGGATGCTGTTGATGGCGCCTCTGATGGTGCTGATGCTGGTGCGGATGAGCCCCGCCAGACTGCGCCGTCGCTGACGTTACGGAAGATCGGGGATCGGGGTACGGCACAACAGCCGCCGCCGCTGCCGCTGCCGTCCCTCCATGCTGCGTCTGCAGCAGCTGCTGCTGCTGCAGGTGGTGGTGGTGATAATGATGCGAGTGCGGGTGCGACTGCGAAGACTCCGGACCTGAACCTGCGGGGTGCTGCTGCAGGTGGTTGTGATGGTGGTTGCCGCCGCCGCCGCCGCCGCCGCCACCGCCGGAATGCCTATGACCATGGGAGCTCGACTGAAGGTGGGACGCGGAGGGAGGATGTGGCTGCGGGCTGCTGGCACCGCCACCGCTACGGGGCCCGTGGCTGTGGGCATGTGAATGGTTGGACTGCTCTCCAGCGATGCTGCGGCGCCGCGGGCTCAAGCTAAGCCGGGGGCCTCGGATGCTGACGCCGCCGCCGGGTACGGGCGAACCGCCGCCGCCGCCACCACCGGCAGTTTGCGGCTGCGCGGGCGGCTCCAGCTCGTTCATCACTCGGAGGGTCTCCGAAGAGGCATGTGCCATCAGCAGCTCCCGGGTTCTGGGCGATACGGCTGCCGGATCGCTGTGGACATATCCGCGGAGGGGTTTGGACACGGAGGGGTTTGGACGCGGAGGAGATTTTCGGGGAGGAGCAGGAGGATTCGTGGTTTCGGGGCAGCTGGGGTTTAGGGTGCTGGTGCGGAGTAGTAGCTGGCTGTTAGCCATAGAAATAAGCAGCGATGTACGATGTTGTACGACGGATTCTAGGTCTTAGGGTTTCTATTGCAGGATCCGGTCTCTCCTGGCCTCAAACCCCATCGCGAGAGTGCCGGCTGTACGACACATCATGGACCCCCTTAGGCTCCGTTCCACCCCACCGCACTCCATCCCACACACTCACTCGTCTAGCAGCTGCTGTAGCAGCTCCGCCGCGGCGGCGGCTGTGTCCGACGCCGAGCCGTCGAGTCCCCGCTTCCTGGTCCTACGGGAGAAGTGGCCCCCGAGTTTGTTGGTGCGATGGACCTGACCCTTGTCATTGATCTGGGAGGTGATAGGGAGGGCGGGGAAGGGAGGGAGTATCGAAGAAACTAAAAGGAAAATGGAGGGAAGGGAGGGAAGGGAGGGACATCGACAGGTGTGCGTGTGGGCCGCACACGTGTATATGCCCCGTACATGCCGTACCCACACACATTTCCCCTTCCCCTGCCCGCTGCCCCTTCTCCGGGCTTAACCTCCGGGGCCGCCCTTCTCCTCCCCTCCGTTCCCTATCACACGCCGCTCGCTCACCACCTTCACTGTGAACCTCGGGATCCGCAGCCGCTGCCTGGATTATGTATTTTTGCATGTTGTCACGACATTTTAGCGTCACATTCATTTTACCGTCTTTCCTACTTGTCTTGGGTTATATCGGTAGGAATATGGGTAGTTTCGTGTTGTCGTTTATCCGCCCCACTGTAATCCGCCCCGAATGTATGCCGCCCCACCCCCAAACCCGCCTCCCCCCCACTCACCCGGTAACCCGGCACCCCCCGCGGCCCCGGCAGTGGCAGCAGCAGCCCCTTCCCGCTGGACATGGACACCGGAGTACACGGCAGGTGCTCCACACGGCGGGAGGTGGCGGCGAAACTGGACATACATACATACATACATACACACGTACATACATACGTACACAACAGGACCACCATGAGCAGCAGCACCCCATAGACCCCATGGACCGAGGGTCCATGGGGGGAGTAGCAGCAGTAGCAGTAGCTACAGTGACAGTGTCCGTATAGTAGCAATAGCAGCAGTAGCAGTAGCAGTAGCAATAGTAGCAGTAAGAGCAGCACGCAGTGGCGGGGCAAAGGAATGCAAATCTAGGAGCGTCTAGGAGCACGACGGGCCGGCTCCCATGGCAGCAGTACGGCGTAGCTCCGAAACCAGAACAACCACCTGCAGAACGCTCTCTACCCGCTGCGCTCTCCACAACTTCATTCACAAACGGGCTTTTGAGTCAAATCAATAACCGACTGCGCGTTTCGCCGCTGGCTGGCCTGCTGGGCCCCGTCAACCTCTAGAAGACGTCAACCTCTTTACCTCTCCCTCCAACCCCTAAAATCGACACCCCCTTCCTACCCCGGTCTTTTCCAACTTCCCCACCTCACCTCACCCCACCCCAACTCACCCCCACCCCACACACCCATACACATTACCATCCCCCACCCCTCCCATCCACACGCCACCCTAAGCCCCAATCCCCCTTACAGCTGCTTGATGGCTCTGTCGTCCAGATTACTAAGCGCCGCCCGTACGGCCGGTCGTACATTAATCTCCGCTACCTCTCGGAGCAGCGGCGCCAGCTCAGCGTCAAGTAATGCCGAGGAGGCCGCGGCGGGGTCGAACGAGTCGACAACGCCGCCGCCGCCGCCAGCGCCGCCTCCGCCGGCGCCGCCCGTGGCGCCTAGTAGCGCCTCTGCATCGCTTACCTCACTCTCCGGTCTGTGTGGCGGCGGGGAGTGGCGGCGGCGGAACGTGACAAGGTGGGTTGGGGTGGCGATTGGGGGTGAGGCAGCGGGGCCGGGGCAGGGGCCGGGGTGGGGCCGGGGGCTGATGGTAATCGCTGCGAATCAAAGCCTGAAGCGTTGCCCCAGAAGAAGTAGAAGAAGAAGAAGAAGAAGAAGGATTGGTTGAAGGAGAGATAGGATGGAAAGGAATGATGAAAAAGGTGTCGTACCGGTCGTATGTATGAAGATATGACCACTGTGGAAGTCAGGCTACCTGCGCGTGTGTGTTGTTTTCAGGTCAGTTTTCCTCTCTCCTTCCCTCCTCTACACACACACAGACACATACACAGACACACACAGACACACACAGACACACAGACACACACAGACACACAGACACACACACACACAGACACACACACACAGACACACACACACACACAGACACACACACACAGACACACACACACAGACACACACGCACTCTCTCTCACTCACATACACCAGATCATCGTCGAATCACTCAGCTCTAACGGCATCTCACGTTGCCACTCTGGGCCACACACATCCCGACGGCCCAACCAACCAACCAACCGCCACATACTTACGGCGGGGGCATCTTCTGCAAGCCTGGCTGGACTACCGCGCCCCGACCGGGCCGTACAAAATTCGCCAGCACTTCCGTACGCTGTGCCGAGGGGGGCAGCACCGGTACCGCCTCCGCAACCCGCGCCATGTCGTCCAACACGCCATTCGCCGGCGGCCCCAGCCCGTCGCGATCTCCATGTCGCGCGTTGAGCTCTTGTACGATGGCACACGCCAGCGCGGCCGTTGACGGAGACGGCAGCGGCGAGCCGCCGCCGTCGCCCTGCAGCCTGCCGTTGCCACCCTGCGACGACCGGTAATTCGCCGCCGGCAACGGCGGTGCGGCGCGCCTGTACGGCGCCATCGGCGACTGGAACGCCGCCGCCGCGACCGCCATGGTACCGGCGACGCGCATGGACGATGGTGCACGTACGGCAGCGGCAGCGTTGACGCCGGGTAGCACCAGCGTTGACGATGCGCCGCCGCCAAGGCCGCCGCCGCCGCCGCCGCCACCGTCGTCTACATCTAGCGCCGTCGGGCTGACGGCGCCGCCGCCGGCGCTGGCCACTGACAAAGGCGTCGCGGCACGTTTGATGCGCGCAAAGCGGAAGGTCCCCACTTGCGAAGCGTCTAGCATCGCTCTCTGCCGCGCCGACAGACCGACCTTGCTGGGACTGCCGGAGACGGGAGATGCCAGGCCGCTGACGCCGCCGTACGGATCTGAGGTACCCGGCCGCGACGTGGGCGTCATGCCGCCTGAGACGGGCAGCAATAAAGGGCTAAGGCCAGCAGTCGGGTAGCCGCCGCTGAAGGCTGCGCCAGCGAAGTTACCTCCGCCGCCGCCTCCGCCGCCAGCGGCAGGGTAGCCGAGAGCAGGGTAGCCGGCGGCAGCGGCACCTGCTCCGGCAGAGCTGGTTCTCATAGTGACACGTCCGGCCGTGGAGGCGGGGCGGCTGCGGAATGCCAATTTCCACGAGGAAGGAAAAGGGGAAACGGCAGGGATGATGGGATGATGGGATGATGGGATGATGCGGGAAAAGCGTAAAAACATGATAGAGGAGGGGAAACTCCCGGGTACGGAACGACACACACGTTTTTCACACGCGATCGGTTGCACAGCACTAGGAAAATAGGTAGGTATCGCCCCTGTGGTACTGGTACTCCGGCGCACGGCCGTTGTTGGTCGTTATGGTGGTGGTTATCTGTGCGGTCGTGACTGCGGCCATCAACCCTGAAGTACACGTAAGGCGCATAAGGTGTCGTGGGGACCAGCCAGGTCACGTTTAGGACCCCTACGAGAAGCGTCTCTAAACCCAAAGCTCCGTGTTCCCCCTCAGAAAGTAATGCTGAGCCGGACCTCCGCTGCCTCCGCCTCCGCATCCGCCTCTGCATCCGCCTCCGCCTCCGCCTCCTAGTCCACACAGGAAGCATAGACGCACGCTTCACCCTCCAAACCCCCCTCACCCAGAAATGCTTGTTCTCCAGTCCCCCATCACCCTCGAGCCGGGTGCCGTACCTGTCGTAATAGTACAACGCCCCGCCGCTGTCCCAGCCCTCCGAGGCCCCGATGCTGCCACCGCCCGTCATAGCGCTGGTGCTCCGCGATAGGCCGCCGTACCTACTGCCGTACCGACTGCCGTAACCTCCACCTGCCGTACTGGTCCCGGAGGAGAATGGAGCGCCATCGAACTCTTCCAATGGGGAGATGGCCCCCTCGCGCCAGTCGCCGTCACCGCCGCTGTCGCCATCTGCCGCGGGGGACATTTTCATCGTCCCGGTGGTTCCCCGTGTTCACGTCCGCACGTGCATGGTTGCGGTTGGTAAGACAACGCGAAAGGTGCATCAGGGGGCCCAAGAGGCAACGGATGTGCGTGTGAAGTGAACCCCCCAAAATGGGCACTAGTCCATCATACTTTCCACCACCCGGTATAGAGCTACCGGCTAGCCGGTAGGCACCAAATGGCCTAGCTGGGCGGGTGTCATAGTTATCCCACGAAACTTTACTGAACAAAATGCGGATGGTTTGGTTTGCACGTGCGTTGTGCTTACGACCTGGCTTGGTTTGGGATGCTTAGGTTGCAGAGGCACGAGATAACCTTGTAATGCGATCTGGCATCGCCGCGTGCCATTTTCATTTAAGATGCCCCGGCAGGTAAGATTTTGCCATTTCGGCAGGCAGCGTGAGGCTCGGCCATACCTGGAAAGCCATCGACATCCGGCGCTGGTGGATGCCTACTTGCCCAATTAACGGACTTGCGGACACCTGGATTCATCTGACGCAGGCTTGTACGCCGGTACTCCTGCGCCTCTGTATCCATGGCCATCATGTGCGACGCCATGGCTAGTCAACGGGAACACCGTTAACAGGCCACGCGCAGCTTTCTTGCTTTGAGTTTTCTCTTTAGAGTGCTACGACGCCGTTCTGTTAACATAATATAATTTTTACGTACGTTCAAGAACAAAGCTGTTCGGGGTTGAGCGCTCGATATGAGGGGTAATCGTCAGCGTTTACAGTTTGATTACAGTGATGACTAAATTTATATTCATCGTCCTTAAGGAGGATGTTGAAAGTGTGGATGTCTTTGTAATCTTTTCTAAGCGACTGAGGTGTCAGCTACACATCGCCCATCGTAAATAAATATTTGAGCTTAAGCATTACAAATATTTACTTATCATTTTAAGTATTATAACTGGTATGGGTCCGTTGTCATGGGAATCGGATCGGTTCGATATTACATGTGCCTGCAAGGCCGTGTCTGGCCGTGCGACGCGCATGATGCCCGACGCTTTGTGACAGCGCTGATTTGTTCGTTCTAGTACCACATCTCTTCATCTCAAACAGTCGCAGTACCCTTTACATTGTTTCTGTTGGCCCATGGGACAGATAGGACGATTCAACCCTGATCCAATCGCACTGCACACCAACGCTTACTATTGATCAGCGACTCTACCAACTGTTTTTTGGTCATGGTCCAATAATTGTTAACATTCAGGGAATTAAGTGAATCCTCCAATATTTGTTTGCCCCACTTAAACGCCTTGTAAGGCATGCCTGGGTGTGAAGAACACAACGCTCAGAACACAAAGAGCTGTCTAATTTGTATATTTGTTTCTACTGCAGTGCACGGCCAGCTGGGCCGATGGCTCTACTCTTCGGGAGTCTGGAGCCCACTGTAACAACCACTCACACAGGAGGGTAGGATTCGGGCTGGAATTAGGGAAGAGCTCTGTCGCAGAATTAGCCTGGATTTTATTCCTGACGAAAGAATTGGTCTGCCGAGGTCTGGAATTGTTCTGGCGGACCCGCCGGAGGTATTCGAATTGCGCTGTGGAGCCTCGGAATTGGGCTGTGCTGCGCCTGAATTGGCCTGTCCGGGTGTCGAATTGGCCTGTCCGGGTGCCGAATTGGCCTAACAGGGTATTGAATTAGCCTGACAGGGTATCGAATTGACCTGTTCGGGGTGTCAAATTGGCCTGACAGGGTATCGAATTAGCCTGACAGGGTGTCGAATTGGCTGTCAAGTTGGCAGGATTGGCCGGGGCTGGCATCCAAAAGCACATGACTTTTAAGGAATTTACAGAAAAACTTTGCAAGAGGACCGCTTACAAGTGCCTCATGTGTGTATTAGATTCGATCCCACGACATGGAGTGGAAAACCTTGCACACCTGGTTACCGTACTCTGGCACTACTACTACTACCGGAGGCAAGCACTCAGGGCCACGACTGCATTACCCAGTCAAGTCAGCTGCCGAGGTCCCACTGTTTTCCCACCACACTTTATCGACAGTCCGTCCAGTTTATCCCACAACACTCGTATGCATGAATAGGTTCGGGTGGAAACAATGACAAATCTCTGATAAACCGCTAAACTCAGTACCACGAGCTACATTGAAAACAAATGAAAATGCAGATGTCTGCCGAGAAGAATATGTTCGCCATATGCAATCTATGCCTTAATCCATCGAGCTCTCCGTTGGGCGGGGCATGGCCCATGAAGTCGCCCCCGGTACTCCGCCCATACAACCAAACACTGACACAAAACGTTGCACGTCTGGGCCCATGTAAACCACGACACTTCCGTGTGGATTGGCTACCCGCCAAACGTTGGCGCAGAAAACAGACAGGCCATTGTAGTATGGCATCAAACCACGCATAACCCACAGCGGCTTTCAGCAGCAGTACTGCTTGGTGAATGTGACCAGCCGTGTACTCTGTTGCGCATCTCTGGAAAAACAGGCTCTGATAGCTTGCACCACCCTGCACCCCAAAAGGCGGGTTGACAAACACATTGCCCATCCACGCGTTGCACTCCAACAGACCATCGGATTCCATATCGTAATACACTGTCGCCCCAACACGTGTGTTAGCAGCCGCGGACGAGCATGGGTCCAGGTCGATCCTGCCAGGAGTGAACACCTCGCGCACCAGCTTTATGATACTCAGTGGGGTGAACCACTCCGGACTCTCACTGGAGAGAAACAGGCGCACATTCCCACCCCCTCCGCTTCGAACCATATGGACTCCCTCACCAGACTCGCTATCGCTGATATCCATGTCGCCACGTCGGGGCTGACGATGCGCTGTGCCTCCGGATCCATGTTGGGACCAACGGTGCGCGCTCCAGGTGCAGGAGTGGGTGAAGTGCGCGGTAAGATGCGGCGCCCACTGTCTACGGCGTTGGGCTGCTGCTCTCGCCGACGTGTGCGCCTGTGCTGAAACTGGCTGTAGAGGCGCTG